TGATGAAATCCATCCATGGGTCCTGAAGGAGCTGGCGAATGAAGTTGCTAAGCCACTGGCCATCATATTTGAAAAAATCATGGCAGTCAGGTGAAGTTCCCGACGATTGGAAAAAGGGAAATATAACCCCCATTTTCAAGAAGGGGAAAATGGATGACCCAGGGAACTACAGACCAGTCAGTCTCAGCTCTGTGCCTGGTAGACTCTTGGAGCAGATTCTCCTGGAAGGCATGCTAAGGCACATGAAAAACAACAAGGTGCTTGGTGACAGCCAGCACGGCTTCACTAAGGGGAAGTCCTGCCTGACCAATTTGGTGGCCTTCTATGATGGGGCTACAGAACTGATGGACAGGGTTAGAGCAGTTGATGTCATCTACCTGGACTTGTGTAAAGCAGTCGACACTGTCCCACACAACATCCTTGTCTCTAAATTGGAGAGACATCAATTTGATGAATGGACCACTCGGTGGATAAAGACCTGGGTGGATGGCTACACGCAAAGAGTTGTGGTCAACGGCTCAATGTCCAGATGGAGACCAGTAACGAGTGGTGTCTCTCAGAGTCGGTATTGTGAGTCTTCTTCAACATCTTTGTTGGTGACATAGACAGTGGGATTGAGCGTGCCCTCAGCAAGTTTGCCGATGACACCGAGCTATGTGGTTTGGTTGATAACGGTGGAGGGAAGGAATGCCATCCAGAGGGACCTTGACACGCTTATGTGGGCTGATGCCAGCCGTATGGAGTTTAACCATGACAAGTGCAAGGTCTTACACCTGGGTCGGAGCAATCCCAGGCACAGCTACAGGCTGGGCAGAGAAGAGATTCAGAGCAGCCCTGCAAAGAGCTTGGGGGTGCTGGTCAATGAGAAAATGAACATGAGCCGGCTTCAGTGTGCACTCACAGCCCAGAAAGCCAACCGTGTCCTGGGGTACCTCAAAAGGAGTGTGGCCAGCAGGTCGAAGGTGGTGATCCTGCCCCTCTACTCTGCTCTCGTGAGACCTCACTTGGAGTATTTGGTGCAGTTCTGGTGTCCTCAACATAAAAGGGACATGGAACTGTTGGAACAAGTCCAGAGGAGGGCCCCGAGGATGATCAGGGGACTGGAGCACCTTCGGTATAAAGATAGGCTGAGAAAGTTGGGGCTGTTCAGCCTGGAGAAGCGAAGGCTGCTTGGAGACCTATAGCAGCCTTCCAGTATCTGAAGGGGGCCTATAGGGATGCAGGAGAGGGACTCTTCATTAGGGACTGTAGTGATAGGACAAGGGGTAATGGGTTAAAACTTAAACAGGGGAAGTTTAGATTGGATATAAGGAGGAAATTCTTTCCTGTTAGGGTGGTGAGGCACTGGAATGGATTGCCCAAGGAAGCTGTGAATGCTTCATCCCTGGTGGTGTTCAAGTCCAGGTTGGATGAAGCCTTGGGTGAGATGGTTTAGTGTGAGGTGTCCCTGCCCATGGCAGGGGGATTGGAACTAGATGATCTTAAGGTCTTTTCCAACCCTAACTATTCTATGATTCTATGATTTACGCACACTCTGTATGTTTCCATACTGAAACAGCTTGTAGCCTTTGAAATTAAAAGTCAAACATTAAAATGGAAACCTGGAGGTACTTGCTTGTTCGTGTTGGTGGTCCTTCTAAATGTCATATTTATTGGGTTTTACTTAAAAATGGAGACGCTTTTTCAGTGGCTTTATTGTCATTGAGTTTTTGCCTTGATTTCAGGCAACCTGTCTGAAGTGCGGTACAGGTGTACCTACTACATTATGTTCTTTGGAGAAAAAACTGTTCTGTAGCCTCTGTACTTCAGTATTTTTTCTTTGCGAAAGCAGAAGGTAATTTTAAGGTGGTAGTATGTGCAAGTTCAAAAAGAAAAAAAAAAAAAGTCCAAACATGTTATGAGCAGAAGAAATTAAAGTTACATTATTTTGCAGTCGTATGTAAGTACTTCAAAGGTGAGCACTTAAAGTCTGTCAAAGGCTACCTGCCACTGAATGTGTGGGAATGAGTGTCTGCAAGTTTGATTTCTTTTGCTACAAATTACATTAAAATCATCTTCTGTTCATTCTTTGAAATATAGATATCTATAGATACCTGTAGATGTCTCTATGTATAGATCTGTATCTCACTGTCTCATCAAGTTACAGGAGCAGACTGTAGAGTTTTTCTGTTTTTTTTAAAGTAATCATCATAGGATTACAAGGTAATTCAGGTCAGAAGGGACCTCAGGAGGTCACTAGTCTAACATCGTCATTAAAGCCACCTCTGCTATGACATATGGCTAGGTTGCCATCTGGTCTTGAAACACAGCAAAGATGGAGATTATAGAACTTCTCTGAGCAACCAGTTCCACTGATTGAGTGTACTTCGGGGTAAAAATGTGGCCTTATGTTCAGTGAGAACTTCTGCTTTTGCAGTGTTAATAGACTAAATTGAACTACTTATACAAGTTTTTTCATTTCATTATGAAGTTCCTTTCTCTTATTGCCTGTAAGTCTTGAAGACCTGTCATGGTGCTTATTTCCAAGTAATTGGCTGTTTCCCTAAGATTCTTTCAGATCTGTAATATGACTGGATTTTTTCAGTGCACTTTTAACTGTGTTTGCATCAGACAAAATATTATCCTTCAGCGAATGAGCAGTAGCAAGGAAAGATGGTCAGAGCCTTCTAGCAACTTCCAGCAACTCTGGAAGGAGTCAGAAGTTCCGTATTTCAGGACCGCTGCTTTGTTATACATATGCTTGTGGTGGTCCCTCTAGTGGTAGGTATTGAACTTACTATTAAGAAACTGAAAGAGTGATCCTCCCCTCAGGTATAGTCTAACAAGAGAGAATAATCTTTTCACAGTACGTTTTTGACACAGCTGTAAATTAAAAGCAGTAAATGATAGTTTTTCAGGAAATATGTTTCAAGATACAATAAATTTTACCTGCACATCACTAGTAAAATATTTTAGCTTAAATATGATTACTTCATAGTGACCAGAAACTCCTTATCTTTCTCCTCCAATACTGCTTTTTTTAATTCTGCAATTTTATTCCACCAGAGAATAAGTGTTAGGTATCTGGAAAGATATTTTTCTAACAGGAGCTTTTGAGCCATAGTTTTTTTCTCTCAAAATATGCAGAGCAGTTCAGGGTGGCTTCATCTTATAAGCATCTCAATAGAAGCATAAGACCAGCAGACTGTTATCATGTGTTTGGGATATAAAAAAAAACCCCAACAACACAGTAATGGGAAAGGTGGTGTCTAAGTACTTTCTCAGCATTTGTAAGAATTAGCAATGTATGAGTAATATATGTAGGAGAGAAAGCTTCAACACATGCACTTCTGGGGACAGAAAACAGATGAAGGAAAAAAATACTTTTATGTGCATTTAGTTTTACTACTTGAAAAGTTAAGATTTTTCAGTATGGTATTTGTGTGTAGTTGTCTGAAGACTCCTTGTCCTGGGTTTAGCAGTAGCAGTCAATTTTTTCTCCATCTTAGTAGCTGGTGTAGCATTGTGTTTTGACTTTCAGCTTGGGTACAGCGCTGATAACACCGATGTTTTTAGTTGTTGCTAAGTCATGTTTACTCTGACCAAGGACTTTGTGAGTCTCATGCTCTGCCAGGGAGGAGGGGAGGCCGGGATGAAGCAGAGACAGGACACCTGACCCAAGCTAGCCAAAGAGGTATTCCATACCACAGCACATCATGCCCAGGGAAGTAACTGGGAGTTAGCTGGAAGAGCAGGGGCGCTTTTGGGGGTCAGGCTCGTTTTGGCGAGTGGTATCATATTCTCTTCCCTTGTTATTTCTCTTATCATTATTATTATTGGTGGTAGCAGTAGTGGTTTGTGTTACACCCTAGTTACTGGACTGTTCTTATCTCAGCCCGTGGGAGTTACATTCATTCGATTCTCCTCCCCATCCCTCTGGGAATGGGGGGGGAAGTAAAGAGGGAGGAAGGGGGGAGTGAGTGAATGAGCTGTGTGGCTGGGTTTAAACCACGACATTCCTCCTAGGCATACTCAGGTGGGGGTCTGAGTGTTGGTAGTACATGTACATTCTGGCTATTGCACTGCTCCTCTGCACACCTGCAAGACTTGTGTGACCCGAGATTCTTTTGCTTACACTGGATTTATCAAAGATGGTTTTGCATGTATGTACATAGTTGTTCGTAATACTCTTTCTCTTAAATATTTGGTAATGATTTATAACTTGCCCTCTGTGAAATTGCATATTTTTCTTCAGTGCTTTGATGTAAGTTGAACTGTATATAGAATACATCACTTAAGCTCTATCTTTTAAAAATAACTGTTGAAGTAAAAAACGAGTCTCTGCCACCTTTTTTAATACTGAGGAGAAAAATGTGTGATTTGCTGATATTCTCTGTTTTCAGTAGGGTGCCCATTCCCTTTTTCTTGGGCCAGGCTGTGTGCTAAATGAGAGGCCTGCTGGGTATGTGGCAGCAGCAGGAGGGATGGTCTGTGAAAACTGGGTTTGTGTAGTTTGTACAAACCAGAAATGGTTTAGTCACCAAACTGCTGTGTTTCATATCTGGGACATGTTATGGTTATTTGTGTGCTGCTTTAATTTAGAGGTGATAAAGCAGTGTGGTGGTTTGGGGGGTTACTCAGTTTGGTTTATCTTTTTAACTTTTTCTTCCAGAAGTACTGTAAATCTATATTGTAAGCTCCTGGAAAAGAGTTGTTTAGTTTCTTCAGAGTTTTCTTCTTGTGTAGAACAACAGTTGCCTTCTTGACTTTATTTCAATCAGAAAATAAATGTAAACTCCTAAAATAGTTTAAAGATTTCTAACTGGACATAAATGAGTTGCTGAATCTATTAAGTTGACTCTTGCGCTGAAGCATAAATGTTGTGTCTTGGACTTTCACCCTCTACTTAGTTCTTCTGCAGAACCGAGAATCTTTACACAGTTGAGGTGCTCTGCTTGATAATGCAGTTGGATTTTGTTATCCAGAAATAGTTTTTTTTCACTTCTCACATTTTCTTTCAGGAGACAAATGACTCCCCTGATGTATGCAGCTCGAAAAGGCTATCCTCAGGTTGTTGCTCTTCTTGTCGCTCATGGAGCACACATAAATGCCCAAGATGACAATGGATATTCGGTAAGTGATTTACTTATCTGTGATGTAATTAACAATAAAAACATTAAAAAGCAGGAACCCACAAACTTGTTTTTAAGTACAGCATTCTCTGAAATACTCATTGGTATATTCTTCTTTGAGTATCTCCAGTTTGAGATTCTTTTGCTTTAATTATCTTTGTCTCCAGATTCTGCCATATAAGAATTTTGAAGGTTACATTATTGATTGAACCTCTATTCTTTCATGTTCCATATGTAAACTTGGTAAAAAGGAGTTGTTTTTTGCAGGCATTGATATGGGCAGCACAGCATGGACATAAAAATGTAACTCTTAAGTTGCTTGAGCTGGGGGCTGACAAAAATCTACGGACTAAGTGTGAGAAAACAGCAGCAGAGATAGCAAAAATCAATAAACATTCAGAGGTATTTAATTTCTCTTTGAAATGCAAATTCTATGGTTTGCCTCAAAAATCTGATCATTAATTGTATCATTTTCTGTAGGACTGTTACTTTAATAACTAAATTGTAGTAGCTAGCTAGTTGAATACTTATGCTATTACATCTATATAGACTATTAAATCTATATAGGTCTGTTACACCAAACTTTTCACAGGGCTTTAAATGCTATATAGAAATGTTTTGGGAACCTTCCCTCCCTCCCCCTTTGAATTTTTGATTCAGATTTAGAATACAGAACAAGGGATTATTCATGTTAGAAATGTTGATATGAGAAGTAGAAAAAATAATATGTTGTTTTTTTCCTGTTTGCCAAAGTGTGTGAGAGAACGTGGGTATCTAATTTGCGGTGTATAGTTTCTAACTGAATTTGGAAGTGAAAAGGCTAAAGCTAAAAACGGGGGGGTTGGTACTAGCTATCTTCAAAATCCATTCTCGGGAGGGAAGGTGTAATATAATGCAAATTGAGCAGATCATTGGAAGAGCAGCTACTAATTGTCAGTCTAGAGAGCTACTGAAGACACTGTACAGTCTTCTAAAATAAATCTTTTCACTGCTGTTACCAGATGATGCACAGTGGATCAGGCGAACCAGATTTCTGTGTATTTTCCTTTGAGTTGCTCTTGCCATGATGTGGCTTTTTGCAGTGGCTCCTCAAAAATGTGTAATTCATTCAAATGAATTTTAATTCACTTTACAGTTTCTTTTTCTTTCTTGGCTTTTTTGAGGGTTTGTTTGTTTTTTTTAGTCTGTCAGACTCCAGAGCTAGGGATGAACAAAAATGATAACTATGCATGAAGTTGTAAGTGTAGGCTAGCAAGATCACTGAGGCTCAGTGATGTTAGCTCAGGTTACTGGAAGGGGCTACAAATCCATTCTGTCTCCCAATAAATTACTTGTTCGTCAGGCTATGGCCATATAATCTTGTAACACAACTTTCTCTGACATGGAGGGACTACAGGCTCCTCACGCTTGAGGGATGCGTCTTGTCTCTTGACCTGGAACACTTAACTTTCAGTCAATTACTGCAAAGTCTTGCAGATGATATTGAGATACTTTATGGTCAGGAGCTTCTTCCGCCTCAGGGATCTGCTCTTCAGGCTGTTGACAACCCAAGAAGCTGTCATACAGACTATGTCTATAGAAACTGTATCTGCGAGGGGAGATATTTTTCTTACCTACTGTACTAGGTTTGGCTGGGATGGAATTACTTTTCTTTCCAGCAGCCTGTATGGTGCTGTGTTTTGGGTTTCTGACCAAAACAATGGTGTTAGCACACCAGTATTTTAGCTACTGCTGAGTGCTGGTGAAGCATCAAAGCTTTCTCTGGTTTTCATTCTTCTCCCCACATGCAGCCAGTAGGCTGGGAGGCAGCAAGAGGTTGGGAGGGGGCACAGCCAGGGTAGCTGACCCCAGCTGACCAAAGGGATGCTCCATACCATATCATGTCATGCTCAGCAATAAAATTGTGAGGAAATTTTTTTCTAAAGTAGCCATTGCTTGGAGACTGGCTGGGCATTGGTCTGCTGGTGGCAGATGGTGAGTGATCACCTTTGCATCGCTTAAGCTTTTGGGTGTTTTTTTTTAACCCGTCACTTACTAATATGCATGTATCTCAACCCATGGATTTTGTCATACTTTTTACCCTTCTGATTCTCCCCCATCCTGCTGGGGGAAGATGAGCAAGCAACTGAGTAGAGGCTTATTCGTCAGCCAGGATCAACCCACCATTCATACGTGTATGTATGTGTGTGTGTATGTATGGCTGTTCATCTGAATTTCAGGGAAGTGGCTTCACCATTCTTTTAGGCTTATTGTGGTTCTTCTTGTTTTGCTGAATTTTTTGGTTAACTATCTCAGAACTCACACAGGGGCTGTTCATTTTCTGGATCCCATCACTGATGCATAGTGACGTCTGGCAGAAAGCTTGCTTCTATAATCAGTTGAAAGAATCTATCTGTCAGATACAGTTAGATTGTCAGTTGTAAATTGCTGAATGTTGGGTCCATATATGCATCGAAAATAGAGATATTAAAATAGTTGTATGCCTCATGCTCTTATTATTGCCTTGGGTTTGTAGAACTCTTGTCTACAAACCACAAAAAATAGTATATTGGTGTATTGCTGCTTCTGTAGTGACAGTTACTAACTTTTTTTGACTTAAGTTAGATGTCCTGCTTTGCTCTGTGTCAGTTCATTGTGGTGGAATTCAGAAATGCTTTGGATAAACTGTGGGCTTAGTCTTAACTGTTCATAGTAGTTTAATGCTTTAGAGAAGAGGTGCAGATATTTCGTGTCCCTTGTAAGTAGTAAGTCATAAGTTAGAACTGTTTATCATCTGGTAGTAACTCATAAGTTATCATCTTACTCCTTTGTATTTCTTTATGCGTTTTGAATTTGAATAATAATTCATTTGGGCTCTTCCAGATTTATAGTTTACTGTCTTTGGCTGCAAACTACTTGCAAGGGAGATCCCATGAAACAATTAAGGAGGAGGCTATCTACAAATATGTAACAGCTGCCCCTGACCAAGGAATTAGGTAAATACAGTCATAGTGTAATTTTACCTTATAAGTATTCCTAAGAGATTGTATTTGTTTGTGTCAGTGATTAAATTGTACTGATGTGTATTGTTCGGAGTGCTCCCAAGAGTACACAGTAAGTATATTAATGTACTATTAATTTTTCAAGATTGCAGAGTTCCTTTGCATTACAAACAATGAGCATGCTATATATCTTTCATTCCTCTCATTTGATTTAAGGTATACTAGAGCCAGGATCCAATGTCACTTCAGTTCATTTCAGCACCTTTAAATGTGTATGCTCCCCTGTTGCATATTCCTTGTTCCGAATTTGACATTAGATTATTATTTTTTTTTATGCTTTCACTGTCTGCCTGTTTTCATCTTCATGCCACTAGGAAGAGATGTGCCTTTTTCTTTTTTTCCTGCATGTATCTTAGTCAAAAGAAGCACACAGTTACATAGTTAAGCTCTAGAACTTTTTGCATAGTGTGCTTCTGGCCCTGAAGCTTGCAGGTGTCCTGTGGCTGAAATCAGCCCCTGCTTCGGCACCTTCAAAGGTCTCTCATATTGTTTCATCCCAGAAAGTGTTGGTTAAGAAGTTCTCAACAAACCATCCATATGCTTCCTTGAGCTTGAACTGCGTGGTCTTGAGAAAGCAAATTCCAGTGCTGATAGTCTGTTCTGGTTTGTCAGCTTGATTCTTTATGTCCCTGCTCAGCCAGGTCATTCTGAATTTGACGTGCCCTAGTTTTGTATCATTACTGCCATCATTGATGGCAGTTCACACTGAGGTAGTCTCAGACAGAGCACCTCTGTTCGGACAGAGCCTCATGAGGTTCTGTTGCTAGATGAATGTGTATGTCGGATTTTCATTCTCTGGTGCTTCAACCACAATTATCTTAGAGATACTTCAGATTCCTAAAGGTGTTGTTCTGACTAGATCTTCTTATCTATGAACCACGTCTCCCATGGGATCTGTCTGCTCCTTGGGGATCATCTTTTGAGTCCTTGTATACTTGACAGGAAGGTGACATTCTTTTAAATAGATCAGTCTTCTGGTACGCTTCACAAAGGCTCATACTCCTAGATAGAATATGTACCTAATGACCTCAGTGCTAAAACAGATTCTCCTTTTTTTAGCAGGTTTGGGTTCTTTAGGAAGTTCCGCAGGCTTTTTCTGGTATAAGGAAATAAACTAACACTATGCAACAGTTATCCATATAGATTTAGTGCTGTTGAAACCTGATGGTGGCTAGAGGACATTCTACCAGTGTTTGGTTAGTCTTGGTAAGTTTTTGAAGTCAGACACTGGAATCCTGAAGCCCACTAAAAATAGTTTGTGGCAGCCAGATGTCTAGCTATGCAAATGTAATTCTGTATTAGGCAATGATTCGGCTTCCAGGATTTCATAATGTGCCAGTAGTCTTTCTCTAAACAATACTGGTTTTTCTCTGCTAGGTGAGAAACTGATTTGTTTGTATGAACAGACATTTCTGTCAAGCTCAAGGATTTTTGTATTAACAGTAGCTAGTTCTGATGTTTCATAACTTTGAGCATTTCTCGTAGTAAGTGGAACCCTTGGTTTCAGGAAAGTCCCCTGGAGTATACCAGATGTCTGGCTGTTAAATGCCTGTTCTTACAGATGCAGTTTATCCGTTTCAACACACACACACATACTTGCCCCCAGTGAGCTGGATTTTTTCATCTAGTGATAGTCAAGAGGAACATTGATGCCTGTGTTTATTCCATCATAGCTCCTTGAGCTCTTCTCTCGGTTGCTCCTCATGCCTCACCTGGTACTGGATATCAACTGTGCTCTGCCACGCAGGGTCAGTGAGTATAACTTGTCATTGATATTGTCATCATTTAGTCATCCTTAGGTAGTGAGTGTACCTTCAGTCATTGCTGTCTGCCATCCTAATTAGACAATTTTCCTGAGTCCAGAGCCTTGGACTGTACAAGGAAATGCACATACATGTCAGGAATTTGCATCCTTCCGCTCCTGAATTAGGCCCTTTTCTGGTTCAGGGACTTCAAGTTACTGTCTGGTTGCTGAATAGCCCTTTCCTTGATCGTGGGGAGAACGTCCTTTCCTTGCAACTTTAGCAGAAATGAACGTCTGGAGTTACCCAGGGGCTTCCAGAATCTTTGCAAACTGGGCACTTTGAATGCCTAAATAAGAATATTTGATCACTGCAGGTCATTCACTCTTCTCTTGCCAGTTGAAGGGCATTGGCTGTTTGGACGTATGCGTGAATTGTTTACTTCACAGACTGTTGCTGTCTGTGTTGAGAGAGGGAGGAAGCATGCGGTGGTTAACACAGTTCTACACAAATACATGGTAGGGATGATGCCTTTAAACACTATTAAAATTATTTTAAACTCTTCTATTTTTCCTGCTGACAGAAGGCACTCTCACAGAATTACTGACTTGAGACAGTGCAAGTTGCATAAACTTAGTGATTTAGGGTGTCCATCTCGTAAAAGGATAAGTATACTTAAATACCAGTAATGCAAGGTTCTCAATGTGCAGTCCTGAAATATTTTCTTATGTATTCAGAACACTTTTCAGAGAGGTTTGGTTAGTTGGTTGTTTTGGATTTTGGTTTGGGGTTGATTCGGGGGTTTTTGGGGGCTGGTGGGGAAAAGAGGCTGGAGTTGGTGGTGTTTGTTTGCCCCCCCCCCTTTTTTTTCCATATATATGTAGCTACACAAATTTTATAGGACCTTTTTTAAGTCTTTAACGTGAAAAAAGGGCAAACCTTGATTTCAGAGCCTACGATAAGACTGAGCAAACCATCTCTTAACTCAGGGTTTTGGCAAAGGACTTTCTGTAGTGACTGCAGTGGTCCTTTCAGCATTTGATCTGACTTGCTTTTGGGTTTAATTCTCTTCATTACAAATGTTCATCTGATTGTTGAAAGCTGTTTAGATATCTTGCTCTATATTTTTGTATCTTTTGGGAGGCAAGGAATCAAAATTGGTATTTACCTTTGCAAATAAATGTTAAACTCTGAACCTGCAGTGGGTTATGCCACTTCCTCAGTCTGCCTTCTGAACAGTAGTCCTCTGACAACTAATTTCTTACTAGTCTTTAATCATAGACATTTTAGTTTATTGGTAAACATGCTTTTTTTGTTTAAATGAAACCAGAAGGGAAATACTTGTGGGCTGAATCCATTTTATATTAATGTTATCTGATAAGAGGACATAATTATCTTCCTTAATCCTACTTCAGATTTTTCAGGCTTCCGCAACCCAACTTGAAGGTTCAATTGGAACATTCTGATACTTAAAATAATATTTATCTATGAATAATTGAGCCCTTTAGGCTCAATTCAACTCATTAGACAGAAAAGCCATTCATTTCTAAAATGTTGATAGATTAAAAAATAGATTAAATTGTACTCCATGATGCTTATCAGGTACTACTGTCATCAGTAGGCCTGTGCAACTTTAGGTTGCTCCCCAGTTCTCTGCCTGGGGAGCTTTTCGAGAGTATTTTGTTCTGGTGGTCTTCTATTAACTTCCACTGTTTTCATCTCATACCCATTTGTTCTATTTTCAGTTCCTATTCAACTTTCAATGACACGGAAGTGTTTTTACAAGGTCTTGGTCTAGAACACATAATAGGATTATTCAGGGTAAGTTTGTGGTTTATCTGGTATCTGTTAAGTAATCCATGAAAGTAGAATGTACCTACAGCATAAAAACAAAGTCCTGTCACTATTAGTATCTTAATTCAAATAAATTTATTAAACAGAAGTTTAGCTAAAAAATGTTAAGTTGAACTTCAGTGGACAGGATTGGATTGCTTAATTTTAATTACGTGCATTAGTCATGTGCATTATGTGATGTTTCTAAACTAGAATAATGCTGTTGTGTAGCTGGTTTTATTTCTGAAAACTGAAGTAAAACATAAGTGAAAACTGTTTTCTTCTGAAATTCTTTTTGATGAAAAAAGAAAACCCTTTGTTTTATACAGGAAAGAGATACAACTTTAACACAACTTCTGATCATGCAAAAAGATGAGTTAATACAGGTCAGTTTACTACTTTAGAACTTCATTTAGTTTTCTCCTCTTTCTTTTTTAACGTCTTATCGTTATAAATGCCTGAACTTGTAAGAATTCTGTTTTCAGAATCTTCTGCAACTTCTTGAAGTTTAATATGAATATAGACAGACCTTTTCTAAATCCCACAGATTAGCCTTGATTTCTGACTTGAATTCTTGCATCTTCTTTGCCTACATCTGACTACAAAGTGAAAGTCTGCAGTATTTGGAAGTCCTCAGTATTTCTTTGCTGCAATGATGTGGAAGTTGGGTTGAGCAGGAAGTTGTTCCATTTTAAAGTTCAGTTGTTACCATTTTTGGTATGTAAGTATGTTTTCCCATTTGGTATCAGTTTAAATCACTTGGTATTTCATTGTTATTGAGGACTAAGTGACACATTATTACAGGATTTCAGTTTCCAGTGGAAATAGGGTGGTTGCTTTTCCTTAGTCTTTGCTGGAACTATTCCTGTGGGGAATGAAAGACTTCCTGTGTTTACAGGAGGATGCCATAATAAAATCCAACTGTAGGAGTCTCCTTGGGACAGCGCAAATACTTCAGGCCACAGGATTCTTCTGAGCACACTGTACCTGGTCTGAGATACCAAAGATGTCTCATTGAAATAACTGACTCAAGCCTGTTGCTGATGCTAGTTGTCTCCTCTATGTCAGCTTTACTCACCCTGTTCTGATACCAAGGAAGCATGTGTTCCAGCAGCTGGAACCAGCATTAGCATACAAATGTTAATTATTACTTTGGAGTTGGTGTCACAAGGATGTTTTGCATGAAGTATTGTCTTGTAACTGAGTAAGGCTTAAGTGTTTTCCCAGAGCTCAGAAATAATTCTATATTTTAGCGGGTGCATGTACAGGGAGTTTTGTCAGTGAAGAAATTATTTAAAGAGTTCATTTAAACCTAGGTATTATAAGGCATGTCAACATATTCTGATGTTACTGCTTTTCTGAAGCCTCAGGATCATGCTAGATGGACAGCCTCTGGGTATGGGCTTTATATGGATCCTAAAGCCCCAAGTGGCAGGAATTTTGCTCTTAAGGATTTTTGTAGCTTTCTTCTTATCACTGTGAGCTGCTGTGTTGGTCATGCTTGCATTAAACTGCAAATGTGGCTGTGTATATGTTCATATTGATCACCTGGTTTGATATAATCATTACTTGGTTTTGTCCAGAGACACTGGGGGAAGGAAAGAGAATTGTGGACTTCAGTGAAAAGCTAATCCTTATGGTTCTTTCATCAAAGAAGGAACTATAGTTTCACATGAACTGATAACCTCCATTTCAGTGTTTCAGCATGTTTCAGAGTCCCTCTTATAAAGTGGGATTTTTTTTTGATAACTGAAATAAATACCTGGATCAGCTCCTCTTCCACAGGAGGGTAGTATGTATAGGAACAGAATTGCTTTGCTTCTGAACTGTGTAACAGCAGGAAACACTTCTGGAAAATAAGCCATGCTTTGTGCATGGATGTAAATTAATTAGCGAATCTTCAGTTGAAAGTTTAAAAAATGACATAACACTCCTGCCTTATTAGCACTTCATAAGTTACCCTAAATTCTTGGTACAGTTTAAGTTACAGAGCTCTGCTAACAGTTTCTCCCCACGCTGCTGATAGAACAAATCTAATCTGTTTCCTCGTAACTCCAGAGTTGAAGTTTTTAGTGTGATGGCAGATCTTCAGCTAACAGCCAGCTATTTGAAAGAGCCTGGATCTTATTACTACAAAGATTAATGATGACCTCTGATGGATGCCTCTGAACCAAACTGCTTTGTATCCAGAGAACTGGGGATAAATCCTGTCGCTAACATGATGCACTTTCCTCCATCAAACAATATCAGAAAGATACTTTCTCTGTAAATATCTTTATCTGTATTCTGCACAGAGCCTAAACAATGACTCTTCAAAGCTAAACTCCTCGCATTCCTTAAGCTTATAAACTGTTCCATACTGAAACAAGTCTGTTCAATATACTGGGACATGTCTATTCAACATTTGAAAGTTTTTGTCTGATTCTGCGCTGCTTGTAACCCTTGGATATTTTTTTGTCTGGATTTTTTGGTTGGGGGGATTTGGAATACTTTCTGAGCATTTGTCTCAAAAGATAGCAACAGAAGTAATTTTACTTCGGGGTGCATTTAGGGTATGAAGGTTCTTTTCTTACATGCTTATTAGTTTAGAATAAGAGAAATTGTCATCTTATTCTGGATTTGAGAATGCATAATGACAAGTTAACACATCAAAATTCAAAATATAATGCAGACATTTAACTTCATCATTAGAGAATTGTCAGGTCTGTGTGCTTTTATATTACAGTTCCAGGACTCTTCTTCATCTGCCCCTCTCTCCCTGCAAAAACATTTAATATTTGGCAGAAGAATATCAGCTTATTTAAAATAGTGGCCACTTGGGCAAGTTGGCAGTAATGTAAGAGTTTATGCATAACTTCTGGTTTTATCTAAGAAACATGTCATCTTTCATTTCCATCTAAAGAGTAACAGGAAAGTCATGTTAATGCTGGAACAGGAGTTTGGAACATGGATTTTCAGGGGCTATTTTTTATTTCTGTATTTATTTAAGTAAATAATAGCACCGATGTTAGAGTTGGTAGGCCTAGCATTATTTCACAGGTGTAAGCAAGTTCTTGTACAACACTTGCACATTCTTAAATGTATGGCCACTTGACAATAATATTTGTGTTATTTGGACTGCAGAGTGTAGCTGAACTAACACCAACTTAAAATCTTGCCAATCTATAAGGAAAAAGGGCTTCTTGCACCACAGTTGTTCCATGCATTCATCACTGCATGAGTAGTCAGGTTCTGGGTAACCCCTGTGTTCAGCAGTGGCTGTCTAGAAAGGTAAAAATTGTCTGCTTTGGGAAACAGTGTGGACTAGTCTATATGTCTACTGTTCTGCACCTAGTACCTTCAAATTCAGAATTACTGTGGTGGTGGTGGAAAACTTTTATCTATGATGACTTTTATCACATTCTTTACTTCTGAAGCCGTATCTTCAAGATGTGGTGGTACTCAGTCACTGGTCCATTTGCAGAATGATTGTTTTATTTATAGGGAGACAAAGTACAATGTCTTCCTGATAGAAAACTATATCCTTATTTGCTTGCTGTAGGAGTGAGAAGATGGAGTCAAAAGCAAACCCAGTCTTTGCAATAGTTCCTGCTTTAAGCAAAATAGTTTTAATATTCAAGAATAACAACCAGTTTACTCTTGGGAGAGCTCATTTGATTTGTTGATTATAATTAAAAATAAACTTGCTGCTCTTGTATAAATCGGCTTACTTCTGCATTATGAAATGACTGCTGTAATGCTTTGTAAGCATTAAGAAAGCATGCTTTCATTCCAGATAGGGCTCGACAAGGCAAACCTGAGTACTAATAAATTGAGCAGACTTACAGCTCAACATAAGCAAAGTTAATTATTTCTAGGAAACACAGATCTTTCTCTCTTAAGGCTGCTAGTGATATTTACCATAGAGACTTGAGTATAATTTATTCAGGTACCTGTGGCAACTATTGGAAACTATAAAGTTCTTGACACCTGTAGTTAAACTCCCAGTTAATCTGGTTGGGATTTTACGTTACTGCAGAATTTACCTATCCGTAGACTTGTAACAATAGACTTATGACATGGTTTTGAAATGTAACTGTGTGCTCACAAGTGTGTCGTCTGGCATGTTACCTGTGAATCCTGAGCACCTGGTGGGGAACCTGGGGGACTGTTTTGTGGAGCCACAGTGAACACTAAACATAGAAACAGTAGTCTCACACGAAGCACCCATTTCTCTGAGTACCTTCTCTTCCCTAGGATTGCTGCTCAGCACCATCTGCCTGGTGTTTGATGTGTGTTGTCAGCTGCGTGTCCAAAGTTCTTTCTGCAATCATTAAAAAAATCTGGGAGACAACAAACTCTAACATTTTACAGATTTCTGAGGCTACAGCAGGGAGCTTCAGGTCCTCAGAACATCAGAGAGAGTCATATATGTTGTAGGCTTGAAGGCTGTGGGATCCTTGCGGTCTTAAATTCCAGAATGCTCCATTCCTGCTTCATCCAGGTACTCGGCTGGAGAGTTAGGAACAAAGTCATACTTGGACCTGGCATTATGTGATTTTTCACTTCTGTGGAGAAGCATCCTTAGGGCTGTCAACATCAGAAGTCCTGTGTTGCAGAGCAGTCTTTCAGATGAGCAAGGAAAAATATTGAGTGTGCCACAGGAATGCTTCTGTTTTAACAAATGGGCGACTTTGTTTTCTTTGTGTTCTACAAAAAAAATCTTAGCCTAGGATTTAAATATGAGTTAATATGTAATCTGAGATAGTTCATTGATAACACAGCTGACAAAGTTTTCTGTCCCAAGTATTACTTGGAGAATATCAGTTACATGGTGTATCTCTTCTGAAGAAAATTGTTCTTTTCTTCAGCTAAAAGAGACAGAAAGCCTTGAACACTTCAGAGGTCTGCTGTTGTTTGCAGCATTAGCCAAGAGTACAGAAGATGAGCTGATTTGAGCCTAGCGACTGTATAAACTGATGTCAGGTAGTAGTCAGGCTTGGTCTTAGTTTGAGGTCATAAACTTATTTTGAGTTTATAAGTATGCTGTCCTTCAGGTACATAAAAAGGCTTCTTTTACAGGCTATTTCATGGTAGAAACATCTGGCTTGAATGTCTTTTTAACAGATTGTGTTCTCTCTGCTATTTCCTGATTGTCTGAGGCTTTAGAGATAGCACCAACTAGATTTCTGTAATGTAACTTACTTTATAAATGAGATTCTGTAAGAAAATAAGGTTTTACAAAGAGCTGTCATATCTTCTGAGACCGGTTTAACTGGAAGAAATGCACACCCAAAAGCTTGGAAAAGCCCTTCTGAAAATCTGCCCTCTTTCTGTAAGATTCTGCCTTTGCCAATTTATAGTTTCCATTCTTTCATCTGAGTTAATGCTGTATTACTGTCATGGTGATTGGTTATTTTGCTGTAAGAAATGACCAAGATGATTCTGAAATAGATGAGCCGAACATCCTGACAGTGGGGTACTCACAAAAACTGCAATATTTTTTTTTCCCTTTAATAAACCTTAAACAAACTATCTGAGCATCCTGTACAATTTCAGTTTGGCTTTTCCTTGGGTCTTGTAATTTTGTTTTGCATCATTGAATAGTTTCTGTGGTTTTATTTTATTTTGGCAGTTGCATACATTGTAGTTGCTTGCAATAACTTAAAAGCAACTTCTTTGACTCTTTAATAATTAGAAGCTTGCACAATAAATGGTACTGTCCTTTTATATCAAGTAAGTATTGAAAGTAAAATATATTTGGAATTATTCTTTAAATTTAGATTGGCCTTACAAATCCTGAAGATCAGGAGAAACTCCTAGATGCCATTAACAAGCTAAAAGTGGGAGAAGCAAGAATGGGAGATGTCTCTGAAGTGATGAAGCTGGAATTGAGGTATTAACTGTGTGTCTAGGGAAATGGAAGTGAAATATGAACTATTTAAGACAACTGCATTGTTTTCTGTAGGTCAGAGGTAAAATTCTCTCACACCTTATCCCATGGATAACACTCATGAGAGTACACCAGTTAGCGGATTATAAGGGCTAGTGGTAGTTGTGTTTTGTACAAAGAAAGTTGGAAGCATAGGTTCCTGATGTAGGAATCTGACTATATTGTTGTTATGTGACATTACTTTGGCCATCTTTTTGATTGATGAGTTCGTTCTTTGTACCTCAAAGTTTCACAGCCTTGCTGTGCAGGGTTTTCACTACTCGTATCATAATTTCTGAAACTGGCTTCTTGGGCTGCAGTATTAAATCATGGTTTATTTTCTCTGACATGCTTCAGTGACCAGATTTGGTTTTATTTCTCTGTGGAAATGGGGTCTTGCCCTCCTCGCTGCCCCATGCTTCAAGAGCAGCATGGAGCCTTATAAACCCCACATGATGTGGACTCTCTAGTTCTCCATTGTGTCTGTAGACAAGGAAGGCACTCTCAGTCTTGAAGTCAAATTTGTCTGATTGTAAGGTGCAATAAAAAAAATGTGTGGGAGGGAGAGATGCATGTATGATTTCTGCATGGGGCTTTAATTTTCAACTGATAGATTTAAATTACTTGTACAGGTCTACCTTAATTCATAAATGCGGCTGCTGTACTCAGGGGTTTTTCCTTGTTCTTTTCCACTGGACACAGTTTTAACTATCTTCTAGAAGACCTATTTTTTTTTAATTACAAATTAAGAACTTCGTACGTTGTTTTCCGTATCATATATTATATGTCTCAGTAGGAATAGGTTCATAAGGAAATGGTTCTGTAAGAAAGTGTTATTCCTTCAAACTTCCATTCCAACTTGATATTTTTTCCATTATAGTTTTTTTCTTACAGCCTTAAGCATCAGCTCTGCAGTACCTCTCATACTTCCAGTATTGTCTTGTGCAGTCCCATGAAAGTCAGGCCTACTTGAGCTGAGAGAAACATCCCTCAGCTTATTAAACTTCGCCAGTCCCTTAAGCACTGTTAGAGCACTCTCCACATCCAGTACAAAAAGAAGAATGAAGGTTATAGTAAAGGCAAAGGTGTCTTAAGATTTCTTAAACCCCTTTTCCTCTATTTGTGTAAATACTATTTTTTTTCCAGAGACCTAGACCTGAATTTAGATTCTGTGCTCATACGTTTCCTCTTCTTACTTCCCAAACCTACAGAAGAACAGCTCCTGAAAATAGGATTAGTTTGCAGTTTTAATTTGCAAATGTTTTAGAAATGGACTAGGGCAAAAAAACTGTGGCTTGCATTAATTGAACTGCAATTGTTTAACCTAGAGAAGACTGTTTTAGGGATACTGCTCCTTCCTTCTACTGTAGCTGCACCAGTAGTAAGTTAGGTTCTCTGTGCTTGTTCCTTCCCAGTTTCAGCCATCATTTGCGTAGCATTGTGTTGCCTTATTTGCAGTGGGCTGGCTTGAGTGGTACTGGGGGGGTGGGGGGAGAAACTGCCTTGCATCCAAGCTACTGATAAAATAATTCTATGTCTAGAAAAGTCAGGGTTCAGTTCCTCCTTAAAGTGTGTTCATCTCCCTGTTGACTAGTGACCTGACAGCTGTGCTGCTACTCTGCTAGCTGTTCGTTGACTCTTCAAAACAAATAATGCAACTCTCTGTATCATTTGGCTACTATAAAGCTAAAATCTGTTAGCTAAGTTGTTCACTGGACCAAAGAATGTGCTTGGGTTCATTCTGTACACATCACCATATTCTGGAGGCAGCTGAATCCACTATGTATTATCAGTCATGTCATGACGTGTTCCTGCCATAGTGTTGTCTTTTGTGCCTTGGTTACATGAGTCTGTCTATTATGTACTTATTCTTACATGCACTGATTGCTCCTGATTCTGGTACTGTGCCTGTATTTATACCCATTTCTGTGTTTACACAAAGGAGGATTTTCAGGCTGCTTGAGGTACATTTTGCAGTATGATGCCAAGTTTGAGCTGCAGGATGTGGGAGGACATGCAAGGCACTTGGAGAAGGAATTGAAAGACTTGAGATGGGCTGGGAGAGCAGAGTGTTCATGTCCTGAAACAGGACCTTGGTGCTGCTTCTAGTCTGTGAGGAGATAGCATTTGATGAATGGAACACTTGATAGATAAGGAATTGGCTTGATGGTTGCACTCGGAGTTACGGTCAGTGGCTCAATGTCAACGTGGAGACCAGTGATGAGTGGTGTTCCTCAGAGGTCAGTATAGGGACTAGTGCTTTATAACATCTTTGTTGGTGATATACAAGAAGTTAGCAGTTAGTTCACAGTATGTGTGGCCAAATGCAGTCGAAAGCCCACGTGATGCCCAGTACAGTCTTGCACACCAATTACATATCTAGTTCCTGGCAGAGTATGGGTTTAGTTCATACATAGTTCTCAAAAACAGAAAATAATTAATTGATTGAAGATCGAAGTACACAAAATATGACAGCATTTCAGTTATGGCAAGCACTGCATAGTTTTCTAGAAAATGGCTTGACATGTATTTTAGGAATCTGACCTTGAGACTAAAATCATAGGCTATGTTTACACGCTATTCTATAAAGATTTTACTTCCCACTTGCTCAAAGTCATTCTGTGAGAAGGAAGATCAGTCATTAAGTCATAGAAAAACTAACATAGTAGAAAATGTTGAACTGATTGATTATAAACTCACAGAGTGTCTAGTGCTGTTTAGCCACTGGTGTTTTGACAGCCATTAATTCTTTTCAAAAGTGGGGTTTTTTTGAAAACTTTATTTCCATTTACAAATATAAGAACATGTCACTGCAACAGATACAACATTTCTATGAAATAGGTTTCTAAGAACTGTTATTGGTATAATAAAGACATATGAGAAGTATAAATGCTTTTCTTTTCCCCTTTTTTTTCCCCCTCCCCATGTCATGGCCATGACAACTTTATTTTTGCTGCAAATCCTTCCAGAATTCATAACAATAATTTCCTTTGTGACAAAAGACAGAAGTTGCCACAACTGATCTAGCCAGCTAAAAAAAATATCCTTTTAAATAGAAGGAAATGTTCACAAGCATGGCTTGACTTATAGTAACATGGGAGAAACTTTCAGACCGTCTCCAGATGTGATTATTTCTTGTGTTTGGCTTTACCCTAAATACTTAGTTCAGTTATATTGTTCTGAAATAAATAATACTTTATTTTATAAAAACAAGCAAATAGGCTTCCTTACTTCACCATCTTCATAAAAATCATGGACAGTATTGGTTTTCAACCTCCAGCACTCCTACTGATGCTTCTGTTTATTTCCGGTTTAAGCATTAAAGTCTTAAATGTTCAGCAGTGTTGCAAATCACAGATGTCCTGAGCAGTGGTGGAAACTTTGCTCACTAATGGTCTTGTGCCAAAGTTGTAGGAAAACATTCTCTGGGCTAAATTCAGCCTCCGGTTAGATACTTGCACCACACTGGCAAGTAGCTTAGTTTAGCTCTTTGGGAAATGTATGCCTTTCTGCAATCAGAAGCAGCAGTAAGGTGGTACGTGTTGCATTTAGGTTCAGTTGCTCTAGGGAAAAGAGGAATGGTGGGGTCTGAATTAATTTATTCAGATCTTTCCATAAAGATAACAGGAAGTTCTTCTAAAGGAACTTAAAATTGTGTCTTGTTCTGGCCCTGCTTGTTATTCACCTGAGTGGCTCACACATGGTGGAAGCTTTTCTCCTGGAGATACAGGCACTTCTCAGGATTTAAGAGCTCGCTCTATAAAAACAAATGGCTGATCTTCTTCCTTGTCCTCTTTTCCTCTGCCCAGTCAATGACAACAACTTTCTGGCCAGTACCATGACTGATAAATAACACTCTTTGAGGCTTCCGGTAAAATAAACTGAGTCAGTGACATGTGGGAGCTCCAGAAACTTAGCAGTGAAATTAGTCTGTTAATTTTTTCTATAATTTTCTCCACTCTTTGAAGATACTGATAAAACTAATTTTCATGGTTGTCTTCCTGCTTGTATAAATTGTCCTTGAAGTAGATAACATCAGAGATTTTAGGCCTTCAGGAATGTATTTCCAGAATGAAAGGCCAAGTTACTGTTACTGGATTCTTTTTTTCTTCCACTGTGATGGAGACTAACGATCATTTCAGTCCTCACTCCGAACTACAAACCAGACTTTTCTCCTACCATCTGCATCAAAAATGTGAGCTGCAGGTCAGGAATATTGATACGTCCCCATAAAATTGAGTATAAATTCTCTATTTCTGGTGTTGCGGGACTGTGATCTGTATGCACACATGCACATGAACAGTGTTGCTGGTGTTGTGCATCGCATGTTATAAAATTACTTGTGCAGCAGCTAATGAAACATTTTTGTTGACAGTACAGGACTGATGAAGGATAGAAGTGGAGGTTAATAGAACGTTTCTGATAAGCTTTGGGGTGACACTTTTTTTTGGTTTTCAGTACATCTTATGAGCTGAATATTTCAGATAACACAATGATTTTTTTGTCCTTCCAAAAGAGCGGAGAGGTGGGGATGTGGTGAAGGGTGAGGGGACACAACACACCACACCACACACAGAACCACCCCAAAACCTACTAAGACTTTAAAAGTAGTGTTATACTACCCTATATTAAAATACAGGGCCACAGGATTAATATTTTTATGCAATGAAATTGCATGTCTGAGTAACCAGCCAGTGTTGGAAATGCGTAGATAACACTTAGCTTGCAAAAAGTTACAGCCTTTAACAGATAACAGAATATCATTTTATTTTTGTAGTGGAGATGAGTTCCTCGAGTTTCTGAAGAAGTTGAATGAGGAGTGCATTAAGCTGACCGTTCCTGTGCAGACCGTGAATAAGCGTTTTCTCAGTCGTTCCCACCAGGTATTCAACCAAATTTTAAAAAAAGATTGATTTAGAGTACGTTATTCTAGAATATTATTCTACCTTGTAAAGTGAAAAATATGAACAATCGCCAGCCAGCTTGACTATTATAAAGTTAGATAGAGCTGTCCGGTGTTCTTTCTCTAAAGGGGACACCTTCTTTTTTAAGAGTTGATTTCAAAAAGTTAAGCTACCCAAATAAAGATAGAGCTGTTTCTTCATATTTCTGCTGATAGAGGAGTTAGGGTAACAAAAGGTTTGCACAAAGGCTGTTTGTAGGAATAACGTTGTGCAGAAATTGTACAATGAAAACCCAGTGTAAATGCAGTTACAAACTTTTTCTAGCACTGTCTTTTATGATATGTTGCCTAAGGAATATTAAGTTACAATCTACAGTAATTCTGGCAAATAACTATAGCTATTAATAGATGGTGCTGCAGTGGACACCAACTGCAAATTATATTGAAGTCTGCAAAGACTTGGTTTGCAGTGTTGAAAAGCTGGGAGAAGAAGCTGCCAAACTGCAGGACCTGATGGAGAAGGTGGGTATGGGCAGGTGAGGCTTTGAAATACCGTGTACAAGTTCCTCCTTGCAACTTCAAATGTGACATCCATCAGTGAAATACACCTTTGTTGTCCCAGAAGTGGTATCGTTACTTCCTGTGCAGAGCACCAGTGTGCACAGAGTTGAGGTAGTTTGTTGTCAGCTATTTTGCAAAATAAGGTGCTAGGTGGAAGCCTCACTGTACATCGTCTTGGTCTGCCCCAGGCTCTTTAGCAGTAGCTTACACTTTGTATCCACCTCTCCCCACCTATACCTTCCCATGGACAGAAGGAGAAATAATCTGGAATATTCCACAGCAGTGTGGAAAGTCTCCATAGGAAGGCACAGTCAATCTTTTTCTTTCTACCACAGGAAAGAATTAAGTGGACTGTATCCCTGTGCTCTTGGAGAACCACTGTGGCATAAATGCCACTCTGAATACTGACACTCTTAATTCTTAATCACTAATTACTTCTTAATTAAGGAATCTTTTGTTTGGAATTACTGACTCACAGGGAAGTTACTAAATTTTTATGGATTGAATGGGAAGCATCCCAGATAACTCCACCAAGTGACAAAAGAAGAGGGTGGGAGAGGTCAAGGCTAGATGTTAGCACCACATCAGTCATTCTCAAACCAACACAATGACACGCTCTTGTCAGAAGGGGTCATTTTAAGTAATAGGCTAGTAAAAGGAATGGCTGCTTGGATAGAATAAATGGAGCATCAGTGTCAGAAAGGAATCTGTTGCTGAACAAAGCCATGTGGAACTCAGATCTTTGGTATAATGCTACTAATGGAGTTTCCTGTAGTTTAAGTAAATTTGATATAACAGCCTTCTCCCAATAAATCACTTAACACTAAATATATTTAAGAGGTAGATAGAGGCTGTGACAAAGAAGTTTTTTGCTATTTGTGTTCCCCTTTTTGAATATGCAGAAATCGATTGTATGTATATATTTGCCTCCTGTATGTACAGGCTAGTTACAAGGGCTGGAGGGGATCTGAGTTAGGTGCCACTTGACTTTGCTGTCTTCTGTACTTAAGGTTTTATAGCTGTCAAGATGAAGCACAGTGGCTCTGTTCCCAGTGTTAAACAGAGGTGTTAAACCAGCCTTCTGAGTACTTCAGAAATGAAATTCTTGTTCTATTAAAATACTGTAATGTTTTATGAATTCCACTGAAGACTTTAACACAAAATACTTTTGTGCTGCTTAATTTATGATGGGGCACTCTTCTCTGAGTAGAGCACTAAAACATTTATTATGAAAAGTGCCAGTTTAAGTGAAACAGTTAAACCTTTTAGATAATAAATTTATATAAGTTCCCTAAAAATCTTCAATACTCTTTGCTAAGCTTAGTCATTACATGACTTTGCCAGCAGTACATGTCTGTAGCATGCAGTATTTGAAAACAATAAATGAGATGGCTTTCCAAGCATTATAAACTAAGGTAGGGTAACAGAACCTAACCCTGCTGCACTTAATGGCAGTACTTCACTCATCTTCAGCGTATATTCAAACAGGCACTTGTAAGGCAATTTCCGCTCTCCCCTTAATTTCAAGGAAGTCTAACCTGTTGCTTATTTAACTTTATTTTTTTGAATGAAGGGTTGGTTTAGTAATTAAATAGCAGAAGTTCTGGTTAAAATACTTGATGACTGGGGTTCGAATGTTTTGTTACTAGATTTTTGTAACATCTATTAGCAGTGTGTTTACTCCTGAGGAATTAGAGTAAATCAACAGTTTGGTTTTCTAATATATATTACATAATGATTGAGTATTGGATAAGGTAAAGGTTTGCACACATCTATTTCAGTTGAAGCAGAGCAGAACCAGAAAGAAACAGTATCAGTCCTAAATGCATGCAGATTCTTAGGACTGGGTACCTTAGCACATACTTAAGAAGCTTTCACCTAACTTTTTTTTCTTTGTTGCACTTTTTACTTAACATCTGCCTCAGCATGAACAGAGGAATGACCCCAGACAAGTGAAACTTCCAGAAAAAGCACCCATGTTGGAAAAAAGATTAGTGAAAATGGGAGGGATAACATTGCTTGGATTTGTTTTTTTCTTATTTATAACCAAGGTAGTGGTAAAGAAAAAAATTACTTTAAGCTTATTCTTGTGAATACTTTTGGAAAATACATTCACACTGCAGTTCTGTTCGGTATATGGAGCTAAGCTGAAGTCAGGAGACAATTTGTGTTGCTTCTCATCATACCCGTAGTGTATGCATCCAGTAAGTGCTTTGATCCAGAAATAAAGTTAATAAAAATCGAAACTGCTGCTTAAATGAGTCTTAGGGGATTATTTTAGAAATTACTTTTGGTATAGACTGTAAGTTTGAAACTGTCAAAGCCACTTTTCTGTTTGGGCATAAAGCTGTAATTGTTGCATGCTAATTACTAGTTTTATTTTTACCTTTAGCTGTTGTTTAGAGGTGAACATAAGCAAATAATTTTGATTATATCATATGTTTGTATTTAAAATTGCAATGCACATGTGTTTCAGCATTGAGAGGGCGGGTTTAGAATACTTTAAGTATCTCATGCAGTTCTGTGTTGATAAAGACCTCTTTTGCAGTTTTTCATATGAATCTATCATAGGAAAAGCTTGCTGGTGAGGTGTACTTCTCTTCCCTTTGTCACAGTCACAGGACTGCGGAGATACTGTTACACATTGCCTGAAAAGTCATTTTCCACTGAACTGGGATACTCAAATTATGCCTGAAATCTGTTTTCCTTGGGAATACTTACTACCATTAAGAGTTTCATCACATCTATTAAAAGGATTATAGCAGTCCTTTGCTATAAGACTGCAAGCAATTTAGAAGGCATAGCAGCATGTTGTTTTCCTGGTCTGGTCTTTCCTGAACCCAGGACACAATGACAACAGCTTCATGCTTAGAGTAATTTTTTCTTAATATTCTCTGCACTTAAAAAGGTGTTTGTAATTCCACAGTGAAACATTAATATCTGGTTTTCATCTGGTTACCAAACCAGCTATGTTGGGGAAAAAAAGGAATTGGCATAAGTTAATTCAACTCAGTTATGTTTTTGCAAACTTCAATAAACATCTGTAAAAATGCTGACTGTTTCTGAAGGGTCATTCTTCTGTCAAAATAAAAGGAGTCTAAAGAAGATGGGGGTGTCACGCTTTGGCTCTGTTTTTTCAGGGGTGTGTGGAGTCTTAATCTTTGATGTTCCCTCCAGAGACTAGTAAGGAGAAGATAAAAACTCGAGTGCTACTCCAGTTGCTGCCACAGTTGTTCTCTGCTTTTTGTTTTAGAAAGCTACATTGGGTGTTGGTGTGTTTCCTTGTTACTGCAGTTGTTTTACCTCCTTTCCTCACAGGTTTCTCCTTCAATGCAGGGAACATCCTATAGAGTGATGAGGCCAGAGGCAAATACAACAAAGACTGGGTTGTCACGCATTCTGTTCCCAACCCTGGGTCAGAGGAACAAGCTGTATTTCCCACTACCACCATCTACCAGCAGAAGTGGAGAAGTGCACATACGATCAGCTTGCTGACTTGAACCAAGAAAGTACAGTAAAGGAAATGTTTAAATAGTTCTCTGTTTCTTCATATTACCTTATAATTAATCCTAAAGTAACAAGACACATATCACAAAAGGAAGAATCCATGGTATTAAGAAAAGCTGTTAAGTGCAGTTTTAACTGCACATGGGGTGCACATGGAATACACATGGAATCTTTCGTATACCCAGCAGTCCTCTGATTAGCTCAAAATACAGTTCAGATGCAGTTGCTCAGTGATGGGATGGCTCACAGGTATTACTGGAACTTGTGACAGCTAACATCTTTAGGGCTTTTTTCTATTAGGTGGAGGCATTGGGCATTTCTGGGGTGAAGGGGGGGAGTAGGCAGGCATTTTGTTCAGACTGTGTTTCCAAATGTACTTACACTTCAGTTAAGTGGAATTATTTCAACCACTAATAAGATTTCTGTGATACTGCCCTTGAAAAGGTTTTGTTACTTAGCCTTACTATTCCTTACTTCTCCTCTTCAGTGAGAATTTGCATTAATGATGCCATGAAGCCACTTCAAAGGACACTGAACCATAGTTTCCATTTCAAGACATGCATTTTCTTTCACTAGTAGATCTTGCCATTTGAGACAGCAAAAATTCAAATCCATTTTCCCATCAATTTGAAGAAAAGATCCGCACATATGGATGCCTTTTAAGCTAACCTTGGAGGTTAGCTTGTATTTTATGGATCACCTATTTCAGATGCTTATAATCATGATGCGAACATTCATGTGACCAGCATTTGGGTTAAACATGGGCTTTCTGCCAGCGGCGTTTTTAGCATGGTGCACTGTTCAGGAATAGTGTTCAAAATGGCATAAACTACACATGAGCAGAAAGCATCTTGGAGAAGAGTCAAATAATAAACAAAGGTTATTTTAACCTACATATAAAAAAAGTTGTATTTCCTCTTCAGCTTCCAAACTTGGGCTTATGCAGTGAATTTCAAGGTCCTGTATTCACTTTCATGTTGTTCCAGTGCCTCTTTCAAATTCTCTGTTTGAGAAGGTATCCCAGTATGGTTGTGATAAGGCAGGAAGAAAAGAAAGAGATTCCTTCAACATCTGGCCCCTGAGCTGTGCTCTCACAGTTCTCACCCCCAGGAGGACCCAGTAAGGGAGCCTTCAGATGAGAATGTCCCTGCTGAGAGGCCTCCCTCTGTAAGTCATCAAATTAAAGTCATTATCCCAGAACAGTAAGAACACAATGATTTGCGTATCTATGAGGGAATTGGAGGAGAATGCTAAAGAGCTTTGCATGCATTAAGCAGGTCAGCTCTGCAGCCCTGTGAGGTTTTGTTCTCCTCTGACAGTAGTGCAAATTGAGATGCAATTGAGTGGACTGGACCTGGGGCCAAAGCCTGCAGATACATTGTTGTTTAAAGATGCAGGGAGGTTCCTACTTGCTGTACCATTGGATACCTAACTTCTCTTGATTACAGATGAATATTCATGGAATGGCCTTTTCTGAATCTAAGCTTAGACTTACATAAAATTAGGGCCTTGGGTGATCCTGTGGAGATCTGAAAGACCTTAAAGAATTTTCATTTCTGATTTGCCCTGTCCGAGATAAAACTACAGGTTGTGTGTGTTGAGTCTCTCTTCCTGCGCTTTGGCATTCACGTCACTCTTTAAATTTGACTTGTGAAGTACCTGGCTTGTTATAAGGCATTGCCCAGTTCTTCCTGTGGGGTACCAGTTGCAAACAGTAGATGGCAATTTGGGCTATGTGCATTCTCAAATTGAGAAAGAGTGAGCATTGTTATGTTCTCCGCTGACTTAGAGAAGTGCTGTGTTTGTTTTTTCTTCTGCTTTATTCTACTCCTTGTCATGGACAAGACTTAAGCTTGAGCTGTGCAGCTCATTCTTTTTCATCTTGCCATGTTTGAAGCTCTTCAGGCATCACCCAAAGCTGTAAGTTGCTCATAAATGTGAGTAGGTGTTTGCTTGCATTTGCCTTCTCTGTTCCAGCAGTTCTGCAGATGTTATGGGGCATCTTTCGCAAATAAAGCTGCTGTGTCACTAGTGAAGTGGCACAAGTGTTGCTTTGGATCTTTCTGCATAGATAAAAAGCCTTGAAGGTCTAGCAGGTATCTAACAGCAGATTTCTGCTTTTAAGGACTCTCACGGTCTTTTCTTTGTTCTGGAGGCATGGGTGAAATGTGTATGTGGAGATTTAGATTTCCCTGCTCTAGAACTGGGAATTTCGAAGTAATGGGGCTCTGTACTTTACAGACCAGAAATGATAAGCAATGAGGTATGAAATAGGGTATTACTGACATTACATGAATAATGTGATATGTATCCTTAACAGCTTTAATAGCTGTTAAATTAGTTTTTATCATGATTCAAATGGCACAGTTTCATGTAATGTAGAATCATAGTCTCTGGGAATGGGGCTTAAAAGGATCCCTGTGGGAAGGATTTTCAGTTCTTTTAAGCTCTGTTGCTGACTGTGATAGATATGGGAAGATGCCTTCTACTTAAGGGTTTGGTGGGAGTTTTTTCTTACTAATTATTATTCTTAGATGAGCCTTCCATGCATTCAGCTTTGCTGAAAACAGGCTGACTGTACAAATACAGGTTAAACTACCTTATTTTCACTATTGTGTTGAAAACCAGCTCAATTTCATAAGGCACATATTCAACAAGCTGGGCTTTCATTGTTCCTGGCTGCTCTGCCATCCTCTGTATTGGACATGGCAAGATTTCTTGACTGGATGAGGAACTGTGTGCATAATACCTATTGAAGGCACATACAGCTTTGAAAGTCCAGCCTGCGCTTGTGGCCAGGGAGGCCCACAGCCTCTCCAGGACTGCATCATGAACAGCATCACATCACCTGCAAGTTAAAGGCATGATCCTTCCTCTCCCCTCAGCACCTGGGAGGGCCGCTGTGCCCACTCCTGGGCTCCCCAGTATGAAAGGGACATGGATATACTGGAGTGAGTCCAGTGAAGAGCCGCAAAGATGCTGAAGGCCTTGAGCAGGTAGGTATGTGGAGAGGGTGAGAGAGCCAGCATTGTTCAGCCTGGAGAACAGAAGGCTCAGGAGGATCTTCTTCATATGTATAAATACCAAGAGAAAGTGGTGAGTGGAGCCAGGATCTTCTCAGTGGTGCTCAGGGGCAGGCCAAGAGGCAGTGGGCATGAACTGGGTGCATCCCTGAGCAACCTGCTGGCTGATGCTGTTCTAAGTACAGGGTGGCACTGGAGGAGGTCCTTGTGGTAGGCTGACCCCCCCCCCAACTTTGCCTCACAAACCCAATAGGGCTCCCCAGGTCTTTTTCCAACCTCATCTGTTGTGTCATTTTGTATAATGAGACAGTGGTTAATAGAAATGATGGATCCAATGTGAATTCATGTAAGGCCAGCACAGAGTGCAGGGCTTGGAGAAGGAATCTGGACAGCAACAAAGCTGGAATGCAGATGTGGTAAATGACTCTTCTGGAGAGAAGGGAACAACATTCATGAGCTGCTGGTGTGGTTGCCACAGGTGAAAGAGCTACTGTTTATATAGAACGGTATCAGAAAAAACAAATGTGTCAGCTTTTTACTGCAAGCCTGAGAAGGCTGGTAGCAAAGAGGACAGTAGCCTCTGCTCAGAAGGATCTAAAATACGGCTGGAATTCGCTGACCTCTCCTGGTGTTCCTCTTTCTCTCCTCTGCTAAATGATCCAAGGTTTCTCTCATAAACTTCAGAAGCTGAAGATGGCCAGCAGCTGGAAATCAGAGTGCTCTTGTTCACACTGACAGTACTTTATCAGATAGATGTTGAAGGCTGATCTGTTGCTTTTAAAACCTGCTAGAGTTAGTAACTGGAACTGTAGTTGCCCCTGGGCAGGCAGTACTAATGTGCTCCACGCTTCAATTGCTCTTAACCCAAAGTCTGCGGCCAACAGTTTTTCTGATATTGGGGGGTGTTTGGTTGGTTTCCTGGGAGTGTTTGGGTTTTGTTTTGTTGGGGTATTTAAGTTAAATTGGTCAGTAGGTGACTGTTACCTCCTTGGAAGTTGGCACAACTCTGCTTTTTAAGTTTCTTATTGAAACGCGTACATCTCAACCCCGGGAAGTCGTACTGCGCAGCAGCCTGGAAGACTGATGTCTCCTCTGCCGTCATGGCTGTAATGTGCTGCCTGAATAACGGGTCTCATAGTTTGCTTTTCCGGGATTTCCACCTGGAGTTGACAAGTGAAGGCATCTTTTAGGAGCGAGAACTGTGCAGTCCCTAAGTTACTTATCAGCCTGCAGAGTTTGTTACGGTAAGGACTTGGAACTGGGGCATCTCCATCTAGTTAGCGGTGGATCGTTGTTTGGAAGAGCTGCTATCCTGTACTTGCCTTACAGAGATGACACTGAGTTAAAAAGCTGTTGAACTCTTTGTTCCTGAATTCGCTTCCAGCCCCGGAGGCATTGCCGCGCTCCCGGCCCAGCCCCTTCTCCCCCCCCCCGCCCCAGTCCCTCTTTCGTCTCCCTTGTCCGGTCCCTTGCGGGAGGCGGCAGAGGGTCGTGTCCCCCCGGAGCCCGTCGGGCGGTGAGTCGGGGCGGGGTCCCCCCGGAGGGCGCGTCCCCGGTGCCGGGTGGCGAGGGGCGGCCCGGGCCTGTCAGTGCTCTCCGTTTCCCTGCTAACAGCGCGGGCACCTCCGTTCTGCGCTCGGTGTCTGCGGGTGGGCAGGAGCAGAGCGGCACCGTGCAGGCTCCGAGGGGTCCCAAGGGGTCCTGAGCCGCCGCCGAGCATCCGCGGGGGCTTTTGAGCTGAGCGTCTGCTTGTAGGATCACTGGAAAGCAACTGGCTCTCGGGATCCTCTGCCTGATCAGAGGTGTTACCTCCTCCTCTTCCCCCAGTGTCTCTTGACATCATTTCATCCATCAGAGTTTCACAGGAAAAAAAAAACCGAACCCACC